TTTCTTTCTTGTGTTGTATAGTTTTGGCATCATCAAAAAGGGGGAAATTGTTAGTACCCAATTTTGATAGATTTTGATGATGCCACTTTACTTAGCACGTGTACATTGTGTCTCAGTATTATTCGTGTGTTAGCATTCAAAATTATGTGACAAAATAAAATGTACAATTTTTTAGTCTAATTAAATATTACCGGAAAAGTTAAAATGCAATAAGGTAATTTTTATTTACCTTAATAGGATATTTAGATCCTACCGGCATATATTATTTTGGCTTAAAGATTAATTGTGTGTCACATTTTAAAGAAAAGAAGCTCGAAAAATCAAATACGTTGAATGTAAATGATTAAAGACAAAACTTGACCGGTATTTAATACCGAATCAAGTACTGGGACCAAAGCATGGTACGCACACCAGAATTATTTCTGAGGAGATTCTTTCAGCGGCTAAAGATATTCAAAGACAAAGAAATCATCTCCATAAATGCTCCAGCACAAGAAGACAAGTGTACAACTCGTCCTCGCCAATTTTTCAACGACAGAGATTAAATCATCCTAACCAACGGATGAGATTAATCCACATGAGAAGCCTATAAATATAGTCTGAAACGAAAGTTTCTAACCAAGCTTGAGCATCTTAAGTAGAGAAATACTTCACTGAGCATTCAGGAGATATCTAGCAAAAGAGAAAGTGCAATTCTATACTCTACTCTTTGCTTAGACTCATGCTTCACTAAACTTCTTAGTCACAAGTGTTAATTGCTAAATCCTAGAAGTTTAGTTCCTAGTTGGAGGTTAGAACTTTCTTGTAATCAAATCACAAATTGTTGTAAACACTTAGGAGAACAGTTGTTCGGATCCTACAGTGTGGTGAGATAGAAAGAGTACCTTTTGATCCCCACTAGATCATTTGAGAAAAGTCTAAGGGCTGAGTAACTTTGAGTGGTGTTATACTCATTGTGAAAAACCTTCAATATAGGCCTAAGTGTTGTAAAGGCTAGATTGACACTAAGTGTATTGGGTTTAATACTTTAGTGAAATCCATCTGAAATAGGGTGGGACTGGACGTAAGAGGATTACACCACCTCTGAACCAGGATATACTGTGTGTTGATTTATTTTCATCAACAAAGCACACACCAAACACCTCTCATAAAAGATTGTAGATTGCCAGCAGCAGCCTAAGCAGTAGTTTTAATTGACCCTACTGCTTATCCTACTGCTTAATAACTCACTTTCTTTGAGACACAAGAGCCTTGCAATATCACCACTATAAGGTCTGTTTCATTTGACTTCAGGAAATCCTGCTTAAAGCATAGCAGTTGCCTCGGCAGTCCCCTGGTGACTACCCAACTACTGAGCCCACTGCTCACACAAAAGTATTTCCTTTGAACATCTAAACTTCCTCAGACCTTCACAACAGTCAACAATCTCACCAAGGAGTCTGGTTAAACTGATCTTTGAACCTTAAGCTGAAATCCAGCAAGTGCCTCAGCAGTTCCCTCACTATCACCCAACTGCTGAGACTACTGCTCTCATTAAGGTTGATTATCAATCTACCTAGTTACATCATCAGAAATCTCTTCTGTTCCTAAGAAAGATTCTGCTTACACCTTCATCGTACAATCAATATTTCCTCAGCAGTTGCCTCAGCAGTTCACTGCCATCCAGTCGACTGCCAAGCCAACTGCTCACTACATAAAGTCCAAACTTCATCCATCATAGAAAGTTGTTATACACTATTTATCTAAGAGGTTAAAGACTTCCGCTGTGCATCTATAAATCTCCCAAAAGATTATAGATCAACTCATCTATAAGGGAAAAGTTTTTCAAAGTTGAAAAAGCTTTTAAAGTCTATTCACCCCCCCCCCCCCCTCTAGACTTTTACCTCTTTCCGGGACCATCAGAGATTACTCGAACTAAATGTGCCCTAAGACGGAGGGACTAGGGAGTATCCTGCTCCATTTTTTCAGCAAATACCTTAATAAACACTAGTATAGCCCCCGTGCGATGCACAGTGTGTGAGTATTTTAAAAAAGTATATTTGAGTGTTTGTTATGAGAAATCTAAGGTAATATGAGATTGTTAAATAAATTCAAAGTGTGAAATGAACATAATAGTTTGACAGTACAACGCGGGTTAATGTTGTGACAAAAATGGCATAATGTTTCTTCTAAAAAAAGATTGTATATTACAAAAGAGCGGATAGACCACATTGGTGGTCTCTTCCCGAGGTCTTTCATCTTCACCTTAAATAAGTATTTCAATATTTAAAACGATTTGTAGACCTTGAGATAACGATGAATAATTGTCCATGGTTGATAGCATTTTTAAATATTTTATATTGTCGCATTTGAAATCTAAGAAGGAACTCTAACGTTGATAATTTATAGAGATCATTGGCATTAAAACGTTTTATTTACACTCTTGCAAATTAGAATTTTGTCATGTCACTCATCTATTAACATTTTTCACATATCTAACCATTTAAGCCTTGGCAAAAGGTGTACCATTCTTTATGGGGAAAAGTGAATAATAATCTCCTAGTATAGCACCTGTGTAATATATGGTGGATGATTTAATTTCTATAATACATGTCAATGTGAAAATAGTACTTCGTACATCATATGACTAAAAAATAAAGTTTGATAATGAGACTACATAAAATTTATAAGAACCGATCAATATAAAATTGCAAACGACCAAAAATAGTACTCTTATATATGAACAAACGACTTAAAGTATGGTATCCGTGCGATGCACGGATTGTGAAATTCGACCAAAAATAGTACACTAATATATGAACAAACAACTTTAAAACTTTATAATATGATATAACATTGATGTAAAATCAGGTCAATCACCAACAGAAATCATGGACTACTTGCAATCAAGCCATACTATAAACAAAAGTTGAAAGATATTACATTCAAATTTAAACGGTTGAAACGTTTCTTTATACACAACGTTGTAGGTTTCAGTTTCAGTATTTGTTCCTCTCTCATCGTTGATAATGATAATTTTCAACCCTTGACGACTGCTTGCTCTTGACATAGTCACGAAATTAAGTTGCCCATGAGTAACACAATTTTTTTAACAACAAACCAACATGTGGGAGGTGTTTACATTCTAATTTAAAAAGTGTACTAAAAAAGATACATTTTCTTTTAAAGTTTACATTGTAATTTAAAAAAGAAAAAGATCGGTAATTTTCATAAACAAATATAAGTCATTTATTTGACCATCAATATTGTAATAGTTAACGGTAAATAAAATATATTCAGAGTCCGTTTAGTGACCCTTGTTCTTGACTTATCGGTACAATCAATCAATTTTTTCACTAAACATATCATGTAACTTTTTATTTTACACCCTATACTATGTAATAATCAAAATAAGTAAGATTGGAGTTACTACAATGTAATTTTTTTAAAGTAGAATATACAAACAATTGGAAAACACAAATAAAATTAATATACTCCATCTGTCCCATAGAGAGGTTCTCGATTCGGTTTACTATGTTTGACTGACGATAAAATAACTTGATCCTTGTTCACACTCTAGTTATTTTTAGTAAATAAAATTTATATTTTCAAAAACAACATTAAAAACTTTACAAAGTCTGCTCAAGAAAATTTAAATTTCGATATATAAAAAAATATTAAGAATGATTTAAGTTGGCCGTGTGAATAGTGGTATGAAACCTTTGAATGGGACGGAGGTGGTAGATTTTACATTCCTATTTTTTTACTTTTCTTGGTTTTTTATTATTTTAGCAATTTTCATTGACTCTTCAAAAATAAACTGGCATAATAAGTCAAAAATAGATTAGAAAGCTAATTGTTAATTATTAAAAATAGTTTTTATAGGGAAAGTTCCCGAAATAGGACTAAAAAAAATTCAAAATTCCAAAATAGGACTGTCATGTTTTTTATTTCCAATATAGGACTAATTACTGTCATGTTTAGAAAATACTGACATGTTTGAAGTCTGGCACTGCCAAAACATGGCAGTAATTAGTCCTATTTTGGGTATAAAAACATGGCAGTCCTATTTTGGAATTTTCAAACTGTTTTGGTCCTATTTCGAGTAATATCTCTTTTTTATAATAAATGTATGGTTTAGTATACAACATTACACACATTATACTTGACCATCGACCTCTATTACTTCAAAATTCAATACATATCTTTTGGTAATGTTTTGGGAATCCATTGCACACCATTTAATTACCTAATATTTTACGGGCCACTCATCAATACTCCCTCCGGTCCTTAATGAAGTTTACACTTTGACTTCGCACATATTAAAAAAATAAATTTGACTTTACTGTAGAGTACACTGTTTGACACTGTTTGGCATTGTTTAACATTGTTTGGTGTAGATTTGTTTGCCAAATAAGGCAAATAAGGAAATGTAAAGTTTAATATGGGACAGTCTCAAAAAGAAAGTGTAAAGTTAATTAAGGACCGGATGTAGTATGCCATTAATCTCAAGGTAAAGGAAGCCCAAACAATATAACCCATAAATACTCCTAAAACTACATTTGTGACACCGCACCCGGATGTACTTGAATTTGAAATTCAGTATGTATTTGAATTTTTCTAGCGAATGATTTCGTGTAAAAGAATGACATATTTAATTAATGAATGATTAATTAAAATTATTTATCGGGTCCATAATATTGAGAATGGACTACCAAATATTTAGTTGGGTCATCATAATAATTATAGAAGCCCAATAAAATGCCAACTAAGGTTGAGGAAAATGATTGGGCAACCCGAATGCTATTTCAGCCCAACCTGCCAAAAATAGCAGGAATAATTTGGAGGGACTTCCTACACACACTTAGGGATATTTTGCAAGCCTCTTAGACTCAAATAATGAGGAGGGGGGCATGAAGTGAGGGTGGTGTGCGGACCTGTGGTGGAAGGGATGGCACAAGACATGTGCACACCCCATATGGACCCATTCTTGGCAATCAAATTAGTCTTTGATTGAATAGGAATACTTCCCCCTATTCATTGTGCACCACTCGGCCATATCAAGAGAGGAAGACCCCTAGGAAGAGCTCTCACAAGGTTCAAGGTTGGAAGAAGCAAGAGGAAAGAAACCCCAACACCAAAGCTTGGGATTTGAGGTAAGAACACAACTATTATCCTTTAACTAGTTTTGTGTTGATATGATTTTTAAGAAATCATATGGTGGATTAAATGTGAAGTTCTACACGTTTAAAAGTGTAGAATATTGATATAAAGTGGTGGTATTTAACTTAGAAGAGATGTGGAATCGATAGGAGTCGAAACCGCCGGAAAACCGCCATTGTTGGGGACTGTTTTCGAGCTGCAGGCCCGAAAGCCGCCCACCTTTTGCAAAAGCCGCCCGGCTTTTGGGTGCTGCCCAGTTTTTCCACTTTCAATCGGCCTAGAACGAGGATTGATCGAAGAGCTTAACAAAGACAACTATTGTACCACATCACAAGGTGAGGATGGCTGACTATATTACTTATAATTAGTGAATTAATTTCATGAGATTACCTAAGGTAATTAAATGTGTTTTTTATGGATTATTAATGATTAATAATTCCTAAGAATGAGAAGACTATGGTCTATAAGGAAAAGGAGCATGATATACAAATTTAAGAGTAAATTGTGTATGATCATGTTTTATGAATATGAAAATGGAATTAACTATGAACTTATGTTGGTATATGCTTTTTACTCCATATAAGAATATATGAGTGAGTAAAAGTGATATTTTGTATATTGATATAAATTATATTTTCGATGGAAAATCAGTTTGGATTTGTCTATATGACTATGAGTTGAGAACTTGGATTGATAGAATTTATCCAACTAGTATAAAGATACTAGTCGGGGAATTGGATAAATAATTATGCTAGAATTGATCCTAAGGATGGATTGTGAATTGTTAAACCTTAAGTAGTCTTGAGAGATACTTTAAGGTGGATAAGTGTGAACTTTAAGTTATAATAGGGGTAGGCCTTAAGAGATACCCAAGATAAATTGAATAATAAGTTGATCCTAGGTATAGGATTGGCCTACAGGCGTGTTCGGTAGTCCTTGAGGATAGCCGGTTGAATTATGGGAATAAGTAAGGACCATGGCTCTTCCCGACTCTAGAGAGCGGGGTTGGATAGCCGCATGGACTTGCATTGTGATCACGGGTTAGGGTGGAATCCGAATCGGAGACCTAACTAGACTCCGGTAGCGGTAACACATAAGATAGGACCCCGAAGGGCCTTACCTTCCTACGGGATGATGGGTATGAGTCCAGGGACGGGATGTTGAAATCCGAACCGAGAGCCTCATGAGGTCTCCGACAGCGGTAGCAAATCCCGTAGAAATAATAAGACCCACGGGTTGGGTTGTACAAATGATAAATGCAAGGAAATATATAAGAAGGGCCGTGTGCCGACAAACGAATGAATTTACTTATTATAGAGATAATAAGTGTGAAAAATAATTAAATATTTATATTATGATATCACCCTAATTTGAGGGTCTTAGAAATTAAAGCGTTGATTATACTCGGTATAGTTGTCATTGTACTTGTCAAATGCTTCCAAGTACTGACCTCCCCTTCACGGTGGAGGCCACCTCACAGTTTCAGGTAGAACGTGAAGGTTGCTACCGTCGCTCGTTGCACCAGGAGGATCAAGAGAAGAAGACGTGGTTCGTGCTTCTTCTGTTTTTTTCTGATTTTCAAAACAATTATAATAATACTCATGGATATTATTTTTTGAATAATTATTTGGGGGCTTGTATGCCCATGTTTGCAACAGTGTGGCATAGACACTTGTATTAAATGCTTCCGCTGTTTTAATTGAATGTTTTACATTATGTTTGCTTATGGATGTAATATGTGTGAATGGTATTCATGACACCTTGTATAGTATGGATGAGTTGGACTGAGGTTGACTATCCGTACTGTACGGCGGGTTGTTGACATGTCCGGGTAGGTCCGGGGCGTGACAACATTACTCACGGACCAATACTTTAGTTTGTTTGAATTGAAAACTCTATCAGAACCAACCCTCACAACCTCCTCCACTGCCTAAGCAATTCAGTTCAACAAACTTCTCCAAACTCATACTTCAGTTCTTCCCTAGTGCGTCGGCCGAAATCTAGGCCCGACTGCTCTCTCAACGGCCGCATGCGGAAGAGAAACCTATCAGACCTCACTATCGAATGAACTAACAGTCTGCCTAGCTCCGGATTTTCAGCAGCTCCGAGTTGATTGACAAAAGGTAAAAACAAAAACCTATCTCCTACAAGGTGCCATGTCTTTGATGAAGTAATTTTTGAAGAAGAAAAAACTCTAACCGGAATTCCATTTACAACCCATGATTCACAGCGATAGATCTGGCAGATATCTAGGTAACTTCATTATATTAGATTTTTCTTTTTTTTCGTTGATGCTTTTACATATTCCCTTTATATTCTTTTGGTGCAATTTATTTTATTTCTTTATTTAAAGTGAACTTGAAAGCCAAAACCCAGAACCGATCATTCATCTATTCATTTTGTTTGTTTTCAAAACTTTCACAATTTTTTTGGATACGTATATAGCTTACGTATTAAAGTCTATACTATATAGCATACGTATTTCGCCAAAGCCTGCTATATAGCATAGGGATGTCAAAAAAAACCGACCCGCAATGACCCGCCCTGGCCCGAGACATTTGGGGCAGGTCCGCCCCGCCCCGTCTTGCAAATGGGGCGGGTCCGCCCCGCCTATACAATGGGGCGGGTCCGGGTATTAGAATTGACCCGTGCCGCCCTGACCCGCCCTGACCCGACCCGCTGAATATATAAGTATACATACTTTTTCTTAAATTATAGTACTACAAATATACTTCAACATACATATGTGTATATACAATAAATCATAAATTCTTTGATCTTATAATATATGAATACAGAGTATATATTATAATGAGATGCACGACGGATTATCAATGTCTTCTTTATATATAGAATTTTAATACATATATTCAATTATTAATATAACTAATAAGATTAACTATTCAAGTTTGAGTAATTTTTCCTTAATTTTTGAAATTTTTAGCGTATCATGAATTTGATTTAATATATTGATTTTTAATTATTATTTAGAGATAAACATTATGTAGATTCAATTGGTAACAACTTTCCACAAAAAAATACATACTAGCTAATTAGGTTACGGCGGGGCAGGGCGGACCCGCCCCGCCCCGCATGGGGCGGGTCATGGGTCAACAAATTTGGACCCATGCAGGTCACGGGGCGGGGCGGACCCGCCCTGCCAAGTCACGGGGTGGGTCCGGGTCTTGCAATACCCGCCCCGCCCCGACCCATTGCCATGCCTAATATAGAATACGTATTAAAGTTTATAGACAATACAAAATTACATGTCACACTAAGTTGATGTGTTTAAAAACTTTGGTATTACACTTTGTTTGAAGTTGAAATGTCGGGGGTTGTATTAAAACATCAATGCTTTATAGTGTAGTAAGGTTTTGAAATTGCAAATGTTTTATAGTATAGTGAGGTTTGTTTTCTTTAATTCTAATATTTTGTAACAACAGTTTTCTAAACTTCTATAAATGTGGCATTTCTCTCTAATTAACATGTAACCCCATTATGTTGAAAAATACTCAAGCACACAATATTTGAAGTATGAACTATTCTATGTTATCTAATACAGTAAATATTCATTTAAGCAGTAAATAAAAGCACATATAAATACAATTTTATAAAGATCTCTTGTATGTTCTTTTTGCAGGTGTTCAATCTTGGAGTTCATGGACTTTTTTGTTAGTATATATATCCTAGCGACAATCACTTTTTAGAGATATATGTATTTGATCACATTCAGTTTTATATATTTGATATATACGGTATTACATATTGATGGTTAAGTATTTCGATTGTCAATATCTTATTCATAATTGTGTTCCCTTGGACTTATGTTGTCAATAAGTAAGTGAGAGCTTATATGATATAACATAAGATCCTAAAATAGCCCCAATCAATGATCATCAAGAATGGGATATTGATGATATGCGATAAGATTGGTATGTGGACTGCATCATACTTTTAGAAAGTATCGTTGATCTCACAACTATGAGTTCCTGTAATTCATGATGCTCACATAGATATTTTAGAGAATATTGGCATACCCACCGAGAACCATTTGATAAGTTCTATTCATGTGTCTATGGGATTATCGGCGTATAGAGTAGTGTAATAGTCCTCCGACTTGAGGTCAATACGTACTACATGTGCGGAGTGATGTACTTTGACCATGACCAACGCTTGCACTCCAATCGGGGTAGATACGGCATGTGTTGGGTGCATCACGAAGCACATGGAGTAGTAGTTGAGCCAAGAAAGGATTCATTCCTTTTTTTTGGATGAAATGTAAGTATATATTAACACCCAAAAGAAATAACAAGTCAATGTTACAGAAAAGTGCATATCCCGAAACGGAATACCACAACATCAAGAAACTAAATGTTCAAGAAAACAGCAAAAAGAGCTCAGAAACAAAGGAGAAACATAAAATCAACACACTAGTTCCCTGAGAGGAAACCTAGTTTAACATCCAAAGAAAACATGGAAAGGATTATTAAACTTTGCAGCGAAAGAAACCTCCCCTTTCTTCATAGTAAATCCCGGCAAGCTCTCCATACAGTGATCAGTGAATGTTAGCCCCCTCTTGTCCAAGTCGTCCGTAAGTCTAAGAAACCTATCCACTCTAGTTACACTAGCTTGGACGTGTTTGAAAGGTTTAACAAACAACTTAAACTTCTTAGCATCAATGATCTCACACTTGAAGACCACATCATCTTTTTTCAGCTCACTTTCTAAACTCACACACCTACCCATGGCTGCAATCTGGTCAGAGGACCCGGAAGGGTCAAGAGCAGCCACCACAGCATCAACAGAACCTCCAGAAGAAACAGCAGACCCAGCAGGAGCAGGCTGCCTCTGAAACCCGGGCGGGTTTTGGGAAGACCCGGGCGGGTTTGGGATTAAAATCTGTGACCCGGTCGGGAGCTCGGTCGGGTCAATCCCCAGGGCAGAATCTGCCAGATCAGATATAGCTACAACCTCATCCACTTTTCCACCTGCAACATCCAGTTTAGGCTTCCCCTCATCCCTGCCTCCACATTTAGTAAGGGCGATCACCTTACCGTTTAACCCCTTCTTCACATCATTTGAAATCCTCACTTTATCCTTCTTATTCCATCCCAATTCATTGCAGATAAATGGGTGATGATCATAAGATTTGCAATGAAAGCAGAAAATAGGAAAGGTTTCGTAAACAACAACTTGTTTAAAAATCTTTCCTGATGGTAGCCGGATAGGCAAAGAGAGGCATGGTGCCAAGGTGATATCCACTTCAATCAACACTCTCGCAAAGTTGTAGTTTGTCATCTCTTGTGTGACCTTGTCCGTAGTGATAGGAACACCCACCTTAGAAGCAATCATGCTCAGTGCCTCTTCATTCCACAGATTTAAGGGTAAATTGGGAAACTTTACCCAAATAGGCACCTTAAGGAATGCCTCATCATCAAAAGTGAAATCCTCAGATAGCATTTTCAAAAACAGTAATCTACCTAGGATATTGTAAGGTCCTTCGGTAAAGACCTTAGTTCTATCCTGCTCATTCTTAAATTTAAAAACCACCCATCCTTTTTTATGGGATTGCAAAGTATAGTGCACACCCCAGCTATTCACAAGCTCATAAATAGCTTTAAGCCCCGAGAATCTACCTGTGAAGCATCCAACAAGGCAAAAGCCCCACAACGAGACCATAGAAGGTAACACACACTTTGAAAGATCAACAATTTCATTTTCAGAAGGTAGGTATTTTAATTTAATACCTTTAGATTGAGCACGGTTGTCTCTAAATAAATCTGCCCATTTTGGGTTATTTCCAGCAGGTTTGGGAGCAGAATCTTCATCATTTGGTCCAGGGTGAGTGGCCATTTTCCAAGCAGCAGTTGGCTTCTGTACAGTAGGTATTGCAGCAGACCCATTTACTGCCTTAGCCGTTTGAGACACAATGAGTTCACCTTCTGTTATAGTTCCAGGGGTTCCATTATTGGCACTAGCAGTTTTTAACTTAGCAGAAGTCGAGCTCCCAGAGTTTGGGATACCCCCAGTAGCCTCATCTGCCTGCTCAATACGCCCAGTTGCAGTAGCTAAAACAGCAGTTCCGGAGCTAGGACCTACAGCAGATTTAACAAGCAAAGGGAAATCCTCCTCAAGATTACTCAAAACTTCAAAGCCTGATGCCTTGGACCTGGTAAGCCTGGGTGTAGCCTCCCCCTTTCCTGTCTTCTTTTTGTTCATTTTACAGGGTCAAAGCTGCACAACAAAATCAGAAACGCGGACCTACACACGACCTGGGAAAAAACAGAGTTCGAAACTCAGAAATCCCCAAATCAGAGACCGGATTCTTACCTCGTCGCAGCAAATCCGAGGTCGGACTAGCACTCAGAAACGATTTCGAAACCAGAAACCCAACAAAATCGAACAAAATACATGAAAATCAAATCGCGATTACATGAACAGTAAAGGCGCAGATGAACATCGTCGTATGTTGGTTTCTTGACGGTAAATCCTGTTCTCGATCTCAATTCAAACTCGAGTAGTAACGTATTCCAACAAAACAGTATGAATTCTATTTTGAATCTTGTTATGACGGATTCATTCCTCACAATAGATCAAGAGAGAACATTCTTTGAGGGTACACGCTATAAATCTCAATATGCATTCTGAATAGTATAATTAGTGCAAAACGTACTATATGAGTTATAGTATAATAAAAGACATTTTCTTCACATATTAAATATGGGTTG